CCAAACCAGGGATGTTGGCATGGATGTGGAGAAAAGGGGACACTTCTATACTGCTGATGGAAATGCAAACTAATATGTTCCTTTTGGAAAGATATTTAGAGAACACTTAGAGAGCTAAAAATAGACCTGCCATTTTCACAATTTTCTATTTTTTTTGAAAATATAATAGAAATTTAATGATGTCAAGACAATGGGTTAATATCATCATGTAGCTTTCAATATCTGCATTTGTATTCTTTTAATACATGTTTTATATGCTATATCTCTATATTTTCCCAAAATGAAAAAGCAACAAATACTATTCTAAATATCAAATGAAATCAATAGCATCCCATAGTTTGAAAATAAATGTATTTTAAGCCCGCTTCCATTTGGTCACTTTCCAGAAAGTAACATACCTGCTAAGTCTAAAAGATGAATAGGATTTTGGAAGTCAGACACTGTGATCAACTTACAGGTAGGAAGAGTTCTCATGCTTTCTGAAGGGAATAGCCCCAAATCTTTATAAGTTAGATATTTATTGAATGCTTTAATAAATAAAGGGAGCAAAGCTAAAGGCATGGATTAATTATTTTATATAATCTTACCAAAGATCCATAACAACAATAAAAGTTTGCTCCAACTTCCCTTTATTAATAGTTTTAATTTCTCACAGTGTCATTTCCCCATCTTCACTATCTCAACATAAAAAACCCTGAGACGCAGTACACTAAACATGTTTTCCAAACTCAGTTTTTTTTTCCTTATGAAAGTATTTATAAATTAAGATAAATTTGCATGGCATGAATAGAGGGTCCTGACCCATAAACAACCTAGATGACACATGAGCTAAATTAGGTAATTTTCACGTTCATTTTGGGGGTTAAAATGATATTTTAATCATTTCAACCTTAATGTTTTCCTATTTCATAGTATATACAGGCCAGCTTAAAAACTGTGAATATCTTATACAGTCTTTTCCCATAGGGGAAATACTCTGCGCTCCAAGGGTGGAGAGGATGGGGAGAAAAGTACAGGGGATTGGTCAGGAGGTGGGCGCCCTCGGACCTCATTCCCTAGAGGCAGAAACATCAAGGTAACACTGATCCAATCACAGATAGCTTGGCTTATTTCCTTAGTTATCACTTGATAAACTGAGCTTAAACATGCAACGTTATGGAGAAAAGGTGGTCCTGAAATTGAGGCTATTTCCTACTAAGGTGAATTGATGGATTTAAAAGTGAAATAGCATTTCAAGAGCAAGTAAGAATAGCTGGATTTTAAGTTGAATATTTAAATGAAAAATTCACATCAAAACATTCTGCATAAAAGGAGCAACATGTACTGATCTCTTTAGAATATAAAATAAGGTAAGCAGCATTTATTTTTACCCTGCTTTGTCTGGTATTAGACTCTTGAGTTTGGATTCAACTGGGTCAAATATGAGCTTTTGACTATGGGAAAATTAATTTCTTGGTGCTTCTGGCTGTTTATATAAAATGTGAATACTTACAGTAACTACTTTAAAAAGAGATAGAACAGATAAAGTTTTGAGCATAATAAATGTTCAAATAGTATCAATAATTTTAAAAAATAGTTTCATTAATGAGATCTCTCTATTCTCCTTTAGAGGTGTAATAGCATCTGGTAATGTAGAAAAACTCAAAAAACAAAGATGCATCCTCAACAGAAGAGAAACTCCTTTCAGTAAAGATAATTGGAGCTACTAAAGTTCCATGTTAGAACTGCCAAAGTACCACTAAGTGCCAATGGAGAGAATAGATGGAGTTCAGAAGAGAAAATAATCAAAGGTAACTTATGGGAATTTTTTTTTATATTATGTAGGATCCAACTTCGACTTTCAATTTAAATTTGCTTATTTTATGTAACACAGTGCACTTCATTTTTATTACTGAGTATAACTACACAACTGCTATAAGAGTCTAGCAAACTAGAATATTTTTTCTTTAAATATTGCTGCTAGTTTACGTCCACTCAGCATAGATTAATGTGATTCACAGCTCAGTATTCCTGTCAAATCACTGCCTTATCCATTTTCTCTTCTGAATTAATAAAAGTGCACTTCAGGTTATGATGAAAGTTGAGCAACATTCAAGAGAAAGGGAAAAAATATACATACCATATATATGTAGACTATATACAGAAACATATGTATGTGCTATATATACACCATATATACATACAATATGCATCCACACTATACTATACATATATGTATAGTGAGAGTAAGTTTGATGAGGATCATAATAACAATGCCTAACAAAATTATAAACACCTTTTGCCAGTAAGTCATAACAAATATTATGCTACTTATTCTACACAGTATGTGCTGAGTTACAAATTATTATTACTGTGAATGTTTTAAAAATAAGAAAAATTAAACTCTGAAGATTTCAGTAAGGACATATTATTCTAATATATCTAATTTCTTTTAAAGTTGCTCCCTGTCAGCCAGAGGTAGCTTGAATGTAGAAAAAGGGAATATGGTTGCTGAGATCAATGAAGAATGATCCTTCTTCAATGAATGATTAGTGAGGATTCATGCAACTGCCTATTGGGAAGTATTTGTAAACCACTAAGTCATGTAAGTAATTGACTACTTACAGGAATACAAAACTAAATGGCAACAGTAATGCTATTATTTTTATTTCCTAGGAAGTACTTTATTCTTTTTTATTAAAAGTAAAAATAACACAAAGATTTCACAAAGTCTCAGATTAGATGTCATTTCCCTAATCAATTTTCTGGTGCACCAATGGAACCCTGAAATTCTCTGGCATATTTTAAAGAAAAGCCATAAAGTGGTCTAACTTCCCCACTAGTCTGTAAACTCTGTAAAGACAGAAACCAAGAGCAAATGTTTTTGTTTTCATCTATTTCCTTAGCATTGAACTCAAAACGTAGTCCATAAACTACAAAACATATGTTGATTTACTACCTTACATATTCATTCAAAGCACCTGGATTGCTAATAATTCATTTTAAGTGTTATTCCTGTTGACTTTCTAAATGTTTAATTGATGTAGAAAAACACATGTGCCATAGTATATGGAAGATAAAACAAATTAAGTTTTGAGAAGACATAAAATTGAAAAATACCAAAATATGCAAAAAGGAAGTACAAATGAAAAACAAAAATAGAAATGACAAAAGATTTCAGGACGTGTACTAGGTCTCAGTCTATAGGAAAAAAAATATTAACCTAAAATTTCCCAGATTCTAATCCCTCATCTCAACATTTCTGAGCTGTAAGCAGAAAAGAGCTGAGACAAAATAAGATAGAAGAGAGGATTCACCAACAGAGAAGAAACAATTAGTGAGAAGAAAATCGAAGTAGAAACTGTAAATTATTTCAGTCATTTGGAATTTGTGAGGGGGAGAGGCACGAGGGGTCTTAATTGAAGAAAAGGGAATTGTTTTCTGCAGAAAATAAATGTGGGTTTAGTCTGGGAACTCCAGGGGAGAACGCAAAACGTGACAATGTGGATTTTGGAGTGTGTGATAATCTGTAAAAACAGGTTAAGGTTTTGCATTAATGTAGGGAACGAAGTCTGAATGGAAATCAGCAAAAGTATCTAGTTTCAGTACAGTGGAGTAGAGCTTGGATATCTTCCATTTGAAAGTGTTTAATTAGTGAAGGAGCTGATTAGCCTCAGTCTACCCCACATTTAGCACCACGGTTTCTGATAACTATTTGGAGAATAATATTGAAAATATAACAATACATTATATACACTGTACATATAAAATTTACACTCAGAAACTCATATCTAGAAATAGAAGAAAGGTACACAAAGGAAGAGTTTACATTTTGTTCTGTCAGGTGCGACCCCATGACCAAATTTTCTTGCACATTTTATTTCATCTTTTCCTCATCTATTTACACTTGGAAAGTCCTAAGCTCATGGAATGACTCCTTTTTTTTTTGAGACAGAGCCTCAAGCTGTCCCACTGGGTAGAGTGCCGTGGCATAGCTCACAGCAACCTCCAACTCCTGGGCTTAAGCGAGTCTCCTGCCTCCGCCTCCCAAGTTGCTGGGACCGCAGGCGCCCACCACAATGCCTGGCTATTTTTTGGTTGTAGCCATCATTGTTGTTTGGCGGGCCCGGGCTGGATTCGAACCTGCCACCTTAGGTGTATGTAGCTGGCGTCTTAGCCACTTGAGCCACAGGCGCCAAGCCTGGAATGACTCCTTAAGGGCTAAAATTCAAAATAAAAATAAAGTTGTTAAGATTTGGGGGAGAGGGGGCTTGATAGAATTTAAGATATAGCAAACCTTTTTTTACTTTATTTCACATTTCAAACTTCAAATAAACAAAGGACTTTTTAAAAAATCATGTTACTTGTTAAATAAAAAATTTTTCTATAATGGAGGAGTGACAATAGCTCTTAGTTTTCTGATCACTGTCTAAGTCTCTATCCCACATAATGAATACCAAGACCCAAGTCTCTATCCCATGTAATCAATACGGCCCCATACAGGGCAGGACACCAAGTCTGACTGACCACCTTCCCTTTTGGTTACCTGAGACACAGTTTACAGCGAAAACATCAACCCAGGGTAAAAGAGTAATATAAACAGATTGTAAATTAGAATGTATGAGGCAGAAAAAATTGCAAATGAAGATGAGATTGATCAAAAACAAGAAACTTCTCTCACTGTTAACTACAGCAACTCTTATCCTGAGACGAGGCTGCTTGACATGTTTTGCTGTGAGTTTATTACTATCTTTTTTGCTGTGTTTTTAATTCACATTTTCACAGTCTTTCCTGTTAGCGGGAAAAATAGACTTTAGAATTACTTTTCTTATTTATCTCCTGAAATTTTAGGGTATTAGGTTTGAAAATATGTTACCAAAAATATAAAATTAGCAAAACAAAACTGAACATCTGTCCTACGTCATCAGATTTGAAATTATCTGTTTAAAATATCCTGTTCTGCAGGTAAGACCAGAGGATGTGAAGAAGCTTCTAAAACCCCGACATCATTTTATTCACAGATGGAATCCACAGGAAAAAGTCCCCCACATGACAATCACACTACTTTAAGGGAATTCATCTTACTTGGTTTCTCCGATGTTCCTAACCTGCAAGGATTTCTCTTTGGGATGTTTTTGATAATCTATGTGATTATTCTGATGGGAAATAGCCTCATTATTATATTAACCAAGCTCGATCCTTGCCTCCAGACTCCCATGTATTTTTTCCTTGGCAATTTTTCTTCTTTGGAAATATGTTACGTGTCAGTTACTATTCCCAGATTATTAACAGATCTTTGTAGACAAAATAGAAATATCTCCTTTGTGGCTTGTGCTACACAAACGTATTTTTTTCTGGTCCTGGGAGCCACCGAGTGCTTTATTTTGACCACGATGGCTTATGACAGGTACGTTGCCATCTGCAACCCGTTACTCTACCCCCTCATCATGAATAAGAGGCTCTGTATCCAGCTGGCAGCTGGCTGTTGGGTCAGTGGAGTTCCGGTACACATAGGGTTCACCTACCAGATCTTCTCTCTGCCCTTCTGTGGATCTAATCAGCTGAATCACTTTTTCTGTGACATACCTCCAGTAATTGCTCTAGCCTGTGGGGACACTTTTCTGATTGAGATGCTGACTTATGCGATTACTGTTCTAATTGTCACTATTCCTTTTCTGCTGATACTTGGATCTTATGTGAAAATAATCTCAAACATCCTAAAGCTGCCATCAGCAACTGGGAGAGCCAAGGCCTTCTCCACCTGCTCCTCCCATCTCATGGTGGTGGCTTTATTTTTCGGATCAGGCATCATTACATATTTGAGACCAAAGTCCAGTCATCCTGGAGGATTAGACAAAGTCCTTTCACTTTTTTACACTATTGTGACCCCACTGTTTAATCCCATGATATATTGTCTGCGAAACAAAGATGTTATGGTGGCGCTAAAAAAATTCCTATCAAAACGGATTGTGTTATGACTGAAAAAAAATGGTTGTATACAATGTGTTCTATTATTTATCAAAATTTTCATAGATTAATTTTGGCTTTTTCTCTAATGCTTTTAGAAGCCATAATTATTCTGAATATGTTATTTTGTATTTTTTATCTCACATAAAATCAACTCTTTTATTTTCAAATAGTAAATGAATCCCAAATATTATTATTTTTTATGAATGAAAAGCAGCCACAAATGAAACTCAACCCAAGATAAGGAAGTGTCAGAAATATCACACTGGAGACAGAAAATATTATTGTTAGAGTCTACATTTTCTAGGTTGCAGAGCTAGTAGGTGGGAGAGCTATAATTCAATTCTGGGGGAGACGGTGCTCCTTGTCTATCATATTAAGTTGATGCATGTTTGGTGGACAATGTGCAAAGAGCTGGATGCAGAGGTGAAAGCTAGGGCTGGGGCTGGTGGTGAGCCAGAAGACTCCTGGGTGCAGGGTCTGAGGAGGGACTAATGTCCAGGATTGTGTAACAATTGGATCAGTTGGCTCAGCGCCTGTGGCTCAAGCGGCTAAGGCGCCAGCCACGTACACCCAAGGTGGCGGGTTCGAATCCCCAGCCCGGGCCCACCAAACAACAATGATGGCTGCAACCAAAAAATGGCCAGCGCTGTGGCGGGCGCCTGTAGTCCCAGCTACTTGGGAGGCTGAGGCAGGAGACTCGCTTGAGCCCAGGAGTTGGAGGTTGCTGTGAGCGTGATGTCATGGCACTCTACCCAGGGGGATAGCTTGAGGCTCCGTCTCAAAAAAACAAACAAACAAAAAAAAAAACAATTGGATCAGTTGTAAGAATGAGAATCCTTTAAATTTGGTTCCCTCGAGTCCTGAGTCAACTGACTCTAGACCTGACCCCAAAGAAGGGGAAGAATTGAAAAAGTGTTTACCAAAGAGGTAGCTCAGTAACTCCATTGTGTATAATTTTGCTGAGCAGTATGTTATAATCCCATAATCCAAGTGACTGATGACTTAAATAACATACAATAATCCTAATTTTAAGCAAGTAAATATAATCAGTAAGCATAACCCTGCTGACTACTAACTTCAATGACATATCATAATCATCATTATAAGTAAATATAATTAATAATTAATCTGCTTAAAAGTGATAGATGCTAATTTTGTCAATCACATCTCATTAAATTCTCACAAAAGACAAAACAAACCTGACACAATTTATATAATCACATAACATTACATGGAAAATAAATCATGGAAAAAGAATTCAAACAAACAAAAAAGCACTGGCTTGCAATCATAAACCTACATGCTATTGGTCAAATTATCCCCCATTAGCAGTTCTAAGTGTCTAAATAGTGCACACAAAAGAAAACGTAATGCGCAGACTCTTCTCTTCCCGTCCGCCCACATATACGTGGGCCATGAACATACCCCAGGGTTAGCCCCCTTTTATTGTTTGTTTCTGGATCAATGTTCTCAAAAGAATCTTTCTGAATAAAAATGTCTTCTGTTCTCTATTAATATTCTCCAAGGGAATTTTTTTTTATTTTTCATATGTACAATAAAAAAGATCTCTTTAAAAAAACCTTGCATAATATGAACTGTATAAATGGGAGGAGTTATACTCAGCACCATTTCCCTCATGGAGGGAAATGAGGGGATTAAAGCGTTGAAATAGAAGGTCAGAAATGTATGTGAGGAAAACAATCATGAGGAAGCACAGGATAATATAGCGATTGAGAGAATGCAAACAGGACAATGAGATTGTCCAGAAGGATAAATAATTCAAAGTGAGCTTCTGTGACCCTGCTCCATATCTATCTAGCAAGTGCCAATTTCCCGGTGGCTGGGCTGTGGTGGTTTGTCCTAGACCATTTCAGAAAGTATAATGGAATAGCGCTATAGAAAATTTCAGGGATAGTGAAATCTCATAGGATGTAAACTGGAAAAATAGGAAACGTATAAATAGTAACAATCTTAAATCAGAAACAATTGTAGTGGTCATGAAAGTGAATTTGGACGTTCTCAGATAATTTGTAAAAAAGGCAATAAAAGAACGTAAGGTGAAAAATACATGCTAAATTTCACTTGCTCAGAGATGAAACAACAGAAAAAACAGCAGCAGATAATCTACCTATTGGATGCTGGTGATGTTCCTCATCTCCAGTGGTTTCTCTGTGGATTGTTCTTTGCTGCCTAGGCTATGATCTTACTGGGCAGTAGTAACATGTGCCTGACAACGAAGGTGAACTCTGCTCTCCAGACTCCCGTGTATTTTTTCTTTAGCAATTGTCCGTTCTTGAAAATCTATATGTACGAGTAGCTCTCCTAAGAATGCTCTTAAATCTTAGGATGCAGACAAAAGTCATCTCCTGAGTTTCCTGTGCTCCACAAATGTGCTGCTTATACAGGGAAGCACAATGTTTCTTCCTGGACGTGTTGGCCTATGGCCTCTGGGTGGCCATTTGTAACCCTCTATACTTCCCTCTAGTCATGAACCTTGAGGTCTGTATCCAGATGGTGTGGGCTCCTGGACCACTGGCATTCCACATAGGGCAGATATTCTAGATTTTCTCTTTGCCCCTCTGTGGTTCCCGTCATATCAAGCACTACTTCTGGGACACTTCTCAATTCTTAAGCTGCTCTGTGGGTGCCCCTTAGTGAATGAGAGATTTCTACATAGTTGCTGTGCTATCTGTCATGATCCAATTATGCTGATACTCATCTCCTATGGCACGGTTATCTCCATGGTCTTAAACTGCCATCAGGTACATGTCAGGCCAAAGCCTTCTCTACCTGTGCATCTCGTCTGTGGTTACAGTGTTCTTCTTTAGAACAGGCATTATGACCTATTTGAGACCCAGGGAGACCTGTAACTCAGTAGGAACAAAGAGGGCACTTTCTCTTCTCCATGCTGTTGTGATTCTCAAGTTTGACCATACAACTTACAGTCCAGGGAAAAATAAATGCCGTCATGGCATGAGGAAAATACCTATGGAAATAATTGACTTCCCTGAAAGTGAATTGCATTTTCAGGAATTTGTTCCTTCTATATTGATAATGAAATGCCAGCAGATATTTGTCTTTAACTCTACTTTCTATCTGTACATACAACAACAAATATTTCCAAATTAAAAGTTACTTTTCAAAGTCTCTTGTCTCAATTTATACATGTTATCTGTGTGTTGGCAAATAGAAAAGTATCCATTTAGTAATTGCATAATTTTATAGTGTAATATCTCCCCTTGATAACAACTTTTAACAATGATTGATGCCTATTACAGTCAATATTTAAAACTGTATAATTCATTTCCATGTATTTGTAATAGCCATTTTTCACTTTGGCCTTGAGTTTTAATTAAAATTTATGCTTCCATTTTGGCCTGGCAATGACTCTTCAGAGAAATAATTTCTTAGTGACAAAGTATTATTTAATGGGGGCAGAATTGAATAAATGGTGTTTGTATGATACCAGCCTAATTTGTGTGTATTTTGTATTAAACTTTTCTATGTAACATGATCTTATATAATAAAGCAAATATTATTATTATTTACCAATAATTAAACAGCAGGAAGGTCATGAAATATTCACAATATTTTTACTAATTCTTATTTTCTCCTTGAAACAATAGAAGAAATGGAAAACTTAGTTATTTTATAACTCTAATGTCTGAAAACAATGTACGTATTATATAATTATGAGTTAACAAATATTATAAACCTTTTTGATACGCTATGTAATAGTATACATTTATTATTTACATTTATTTACATGATTTTATCAATAAATATTTGTTTCAATATAATAATTGTTTACCTAGGCATCTAGTGTAAAATTAACAGATAGCATACACAAACATGCATATGACACACACAGAGAAAATGAATGAAAATATAATCATCAATGTTATTTTTCTTAGATTCAATGTTTCCTCCATTTTTATTTGGTTAATTGAAATTTTGTTCCTTATTACTAGCAATTTCTGTTACCCATGTAATAAAAAACACAGTAAACCTGTGCTCATTGTGGATAAGAAAAATGGTGACTGGTTATGCCGTTTTCTTATTCATAGTGATACAAGAAACATCCGTTTGCAGTATCCCATACTTGTCTAAAGCATTAGTCATAAACTCAAGTGACAAATTTCTAAGGAATTATAAACTGTCTCAGGATTTATGGTTAAAAAACAACATGGTGAAGTATACGACTGTTGTTACGGCTGTTAGCCCGAACTGAAAAAATTTAGTTCTGCTCACATTTACTGAACAAACATTTCCAGCGGAGAGGAAAGTGCACTGTGGCTTTTTACTTGGGTAAAAACAATAAGAATGTATGTTAACAACTCTGATCAAAAACCTAAGAACCAAATTGTACTGTGTCCAAGAGCAAAGCAGAGAATGAATGAATCACCAAGATTTTCCAATAAATATCTATCCGGAGCAATTAAAATGTAATGTAAATGATTGAGAATGGGGAAAGAATAGAATAAAGATAAATATAATAATAAAAACAATTCCAAGGATTTTTTTTTTCAAAAATAATACTGAACACAGACCAGCCAATTCATTGAAGTACACCCATGCCAGCCAGGATCTTCAGCTTTGGGACACTGTGATGTAGGTTATATTATTTTGATTATGATTTATTTATAATACAGAAATAGGAATAGCGGTTTCCTGACATTAATGGTAGAGGGAAGATATATCAAAAAGCTGCAAGAGGAAATGTTTCCCAAGAATGTGAATGGTCTGTATCTTAATTGCAGTGATAATTTCCTAAGTGAATATATCTGTGTTCTCATTGAATTTTAAAGCTCACTGAATATGTTTTAAAGCCTGTATTTAATTTTCTGAAAATTATATCTTGATGATATTATTAATGCTAAAGTAAGATCATACTGGAAAATAATAATTATATTGTATAAAATGTAAATATATATTTAAAACAATTAAAATACATGGACATGTACTATGATTAATCATTTTGTTGTGTAACTTTTAATACTTGACCTTAAACATAAATGTATACCTCCTGTTGTACTCTGTTTTTCTTTTGAAACTGTCTTAAAATCCATGTTATACAATATAATAAGAATTAATTTTAGCCTCCCTATTCACTCTTGAAGATGTCAAAATTTGGGTAATAAAGAAATTGATCCTTTAACTAGTGTCTACAACCTCAGAAACCTACTAGTTGGTGAGCTTTAATTTGAAACAGGAGACATGGGTGCCAGATTATTTAAGGATTACATTTCAGAAAAAAAGATGTCATAGGAAGTGTTGTGAAATAATTAGGGTAAAAATTCTTAATATTCTGAACAAAATGTTATAACCAACACAATCACAATTTTCACAAGGTCAAAATTTAAGTGTGTTTGGCTCTGTGATCCGTAAATAGATTCTAGGTCCTCAGGTTTGCTGTAATATTAAGTGAGATGCAGAAACTGGGCAGTTTTCAAGGAGGCTGTGAGTTTTGAAATCTCCTCCAGATGAGACAAAGAAAGAAGATAAACCATGTTAAGAGTGATTCCAGGTGTTGAAAAGAAAAATTAACAAGAAATTTCTTTGTGCCCAGGGTAAATGTCCTTAAGATTCTGTGCTGATGGCTAGTGACAGCTGTGTCTCTACAAAGCGGACCCAAGAGTCTAATTTCACTATGTACCAAGTGTGGGATGGAAGAAAATTTTCCTTTTGGTTCAAGGACCACCTTGTGTAGAAAAATGTGTTGTAATCCAAGAGCACAGATTTTCTGAGCATGAACTCTATGCATTGGGGACATACGGGGTGAAACTCACTATTAGTGACCAAATTTTATTTTTATTTTATGTATTTATTTATTTATTTTTATTAGTGACCAAAATTAAGGACTGTGGATTTTCTCCGAACACATTTCTGTTTTTTTGACCTACAGTAAAATAACATTCCCTGAGTCTCATGTATTTAAGTTCGACCATATGATTCATTTCTGAAATACCATATGTGTAGAAATGACATGCGTATTATGTGTTGAAGACCTTAAGAGTAGGTTTTCTGCCTTATGCTGTGTCTTTCATTCTCAGCTATCTGAATGCTAGTTATGCAATAGAGGACTGCAGAGCCATCTAGGGAAACTGCCATAGGAGTGTGAAAAATGTGTTTATTTCGCTAAGTTATTGATATGTCAGAGGTATTGTTTCAGGTTTTAGCTTTATCGAGGTGATAGTAGTATTTAAATGAATCATGGAATATCCAATTCTCCCTTTTAATGATAGGCTAGGGATTAAATCAGTCTAACCCAATATGAACATTCAATTTGTCTCTGCCTTTATGTAATTGACAAGTTTGTGGCGAAACATGAGTGCGGTTTTCATTTATAGAGTTGTGGAAAAAGCTTCATTTGAGAATATCAAATAAGTGATAATAAAGATTTCAGAGCATTCACATATGACACTCATGCTGTAGTAAAGAGAAATAGATTTAAAGTACATAAAAGGAATATGGTTTTATTTTATCGTTTTTAGGTCATAACTGTGTACATTGCTGCATTTATGGGGTACAATGTGCTGATTTTATATACAATTTGGAATGTTTACATCAAACTGGCTAACATATCATTCTCCTCATTTATTTAATTATTGTTTTCAGACATTTATGCTCTACTATTAATATATGTGACATGTACACTTGCAATACGCACCGTAGGTGAGGTCTCACTGATTACCCTCCCTCCCCCTCCACCTGTTCATTCCCTGACCCTCCCCTGGCCCTCCTCTTCTCTCCTTCTTTCTGGGCTATAATTGTGTTTTATCTTTTGTATGCAGCCACAAAAAAAGATGGAGGCTTTACCTCTTTTATGTTTATATGAATGGATACTTCACTAAGAAGAATAGTAGCAAAGTATCTCAGGAATGAAAAAAAATAACTATATTTCAATACTATTATGAAATCAATATATAATCATCCACACTTCATATGAAAGATAAAGGAATACAGTTTTCGAAACACACTGTGACATAGCTATAGAACCCCAGACAGGAAGAAATGAACACAATTACACACAGAAGCAGACAGTGGGTTCACTACTTCATGTCTGACAACCTTCACTCCACACATTCCTGGAAATAGTCCAAACTGGAAAAGGATGTTGAGAAGAAAAGTTTATTCTTTTTTTTCTTTATTTTTATTTGATGCAACTTACACTTACAATTACCTGGATACAACGTACTTCCCCTGATGCCTCAGTAGATAACACAATATGGAAAAAAAACTATCTTTTTGTCAGCAGACATCACATGCTTTAATTTCCATAGAAGTTAACCTGGGAAGGGAGTTTTCCAATTCTGAAGAGAGATCTCACCACTCAATATATTGAGGGCATCGAGCATAGTAAGTTTGTGTGACAAAGCACATGGCACTTTTTCTGAATCTCCGGATAATCTGGATCTAGACAAATTATGGAAATAAAAATATGGAAGGAAAATTCACATCAAGTCTTAAGGGCTGCGAAGACAACAGCTAGAAAGATTTTAACTTTTTCTTCAAAGTTAATGAAGATGCTAAACAATTAAGTGATATTTAATTTACGTCCCTCATATTAAGGACATTTCAAGCCACTTAGGGATGACTAGGAGGATGAGTCTATCTTAAGAATGTAAGTTTTGAAAAATGAACCAGAATGACTGGCAAGTAGAAGTAGCTTTCCAGAAATTAAGTTGATACACAAGAGAAGATGTCCCCATGGGTCAGTGTGACCATCCCTACTTAAGAGCAGCTGTTCTTTGAAGCAAGCAAGAATATTGTAGAAGTAGTAGCTTCCTGAAGAAAAGAGTATAAAAAGTTTATAAGCTAATAATCACTTACACTCTTATCCACAGCTTCATGCAAATCCATAAAGGTAAGCTGTAACTGTGTTCACAAGGTATTTTATTTAAGAATAGTTTTAACTTTGTGCATCCAGATTTGACTATTAAAATAGCAAAACACAGAATTCTTAGATCTTTATCTGAAAAACATGATTAATATAGAGATCATGTATCTTTTAACTTTGTTATAAAGCTAAATGTATGACAAATAATGATAGTAAGGACAAGGTAATCTTGAAAACTATCATTGATAGAAATATGTAAATGTGAGATCGTATTTGCCTAATCCATTTTATTTATCAATGTTTTAAGTCAAAAGCATCAGCTGATAATGTAGTAGATTTGAGGAGATAGAAAAATACATAAATGTTTGCTGTGTAAGGTTAGAGAACAAATATGGAGAAAGTTGTAATAGGAGTTGTCAAATAATGCCATTAATATGAAGTGAAGCAACACTGTGTTTGTTTCAGATTTTGGTCCCATGTGTATGCTCTGGCCATTTACACAGTCAGAGTAAAGAATAGTTGTGTTTAACGAAAATCCATTTTTTATAAGACAAACTTACGAAGGAAAAATAGAGAAAGAGAGTTGTATTTGGTAGTAAGGAAATTTTATGAGAATGAGACTCTCACTTGGATAAGAAAAGAGATACGAGAAACTATTGTGAAGAATTGTTATTTCTTGATTCAGTTAAAAGTTAAATGATATTTTGCATATATCATATAGGGGCCATAAATAGGGAAAGTTAATGAAGAGAATTTGTTTATTGCTATCATTTATATTAAGCATAAATAATGAGATATATAAAACAGAGCAACTACATATTATTTATTCCCTCAGTAACAAAGAAATAGGTCAAGGAAATTTATTCTCATTGATATATAAAAGGGAGGACTTAAAATTTATTTTGAGAAGAATTAGACAAAAGATTAGAGGAGGAAGTTTTGAATCAAAAGAACATGGAATATGATGACCAATACAAAGAAAATTTTAAGCTCAGAACAAACAATGACCAACGGCTATGTTATAATTCCACTTTTAAGGGTGAAATGATAAGACATTATTTCTCATCAAATTATCTAAGTAACAATGCAGTCTTCCTAATGCCTCTAACGTCACTGAATCCCAGTCCAGTAAAATACATTGAGATTTTATTTCTTGAATTGGTTTTAACTCCCAATTAGTTCATTTCTGAAATTTCCAAACTCATTTCCTAGAAACAGAGCAAGGTAATGGTGCAAATAATTTAAGAGTTTATAAGTATCAATGCAGCACACCCAGAGCATGAGAGAAAAATGTGGGTCAAAATGTGATGAATTAACCATCTTGAATTTACCATATCTGCAGATGGAAATCAAATTAAAACAGAAAATTCAAATATGACTACAATAATGGAATTTGTTCTTTTGGGTTTTTCTGATATGCCGAACCTCCAGTGGATTCTTTTTGGAATATTTTTACTCATATATTTGACTATCCTGATGTGCAACAGCATCATAATACTAATAACAAGATTTGACCCTGCTCTCCAGAAACCCATGTATTTTTTTCTTGGCAATTTTTCATTTTTGGAAATCTGTTATGTAACGGTCACTATCCCAAGGATGCTCATGGATCTTTGGACTCAGAGAGGAAGTATTTCTTTGTCCGCTTGTGCGGCACAAATGTGTTTTGTGCTCATGCTTGGTGGCACAGAATGCCTTCTCCTGACAGTGATGGCCTATGACCGGTACGTAGCCATTTGTAACCCCCTGCACTATTCCCTGGTGATGAACCACAAAGTCTGTATTCAGCTGGTAGCGGCCTCTTGGATCAGTGGAATTCCAGTAGTAATTGGGCAGACATGCCAGATTTTCTTTTTGCCCTTTTGTGGGTCTAACACAATTAATCACTTCTTTTGTGACATTCCCCCGGTACTCAAGCTTGCTTGCGGGGACACCTTTGTGAATGAGATAGCCGTCTACGTAGTTGCAGTTGTGTTTATCATGGTTCCATTTCTGTTGATTGTTGTCTCCTACAGCAAAATCATCTCCAACATTCTCAAATTGTCATCAGCCAAAGGGCGCTCTAAAGCCTTCTCCACCTGCTCGTCTCACCTGACAGTTGTGGTTTTATTCTATGGAACAGCTACTATCACTTATTTACAACCCAAACCAAATCAATTTGGAAGAATGGGGAAACTGATTTCTCTTTTCTATACTGTTTTAATCCCAACTTTAAATCCTATTATCTATACTCTGAGGAACAAAGATATCATGGTGGCACTGAGAAAACTACTAGGTAAGTTATTTACATGACACAAAGACTTGAAATTAAAGAAATGATTTGTTTAGGTTAATCATGTAGCCACAACCAAAAAACATATTAGCTTTGTTCCTTGCTCTTAAATAATAATGATTAAAATTCCTACCCGACAAGTACATGGCCCCAGTGTAATGCACATTTCATGGGTAAAGACACTATTACAACCTGGACTTTAACCTTAGAAAAGCAAACTTTGTATCCTAATTGTATGCACCCCTTTATTAATCTTAAATTTAAAATATCATGTACTTAAAATATTAAGAAAATGAAATTATGATAACAACCCCACATTTTGTCAAGGGTCCTTTTATAGAGTTCAGTTAAGGGCTTCCATGTAATCAGAGTAAAAATTAACTCAGCTATAAAAGATATTAGTTTCAAAATCAAAAATTAACTATCGACTACCTAAGCAATGGACTACCTAGGCAATACAGTGAAAGCTAACCAACTGTGTCTCGTAACCAGGGTCTGTGATTTGGGATAAATTTTGTTCATTCCTTCAGAGGCACTGCTGTGTTTCACACACTCTATGGTTGGATTGAATCAATGAGGAAAACCAGAAATAGTGAAGATGGTGGAAACAAGGGATTTGGGGTTTCCTTTGCACTTCTATATCTCTTGCCTCTCCCCATGTCCTTTTAAGATTAAAATTCTGAGAATATTTCCTCTAATGCCATTTTCTCTAGACTGATATTATTGTTTTCTGGTCACATCACTTCCTCCCATGATAGCTTCAGTCTTGCTTTAGTGATATCTATTTAGTATTGGGAACTTCTGAATTTTCACCATGAAGTATCCTTACACGTATGCAGTGGTTTGAATGGTGGCCTCTCAAACTATTGTCTTGATCCAGGACCTGCACATGTAACCTAATTTGAAAAAAAAAGTTTTTGTAGGTAGAGGTAAGCTAAGGATTTTGAAATGAGACTACAATGGTTTAGAATGCACACTAACTCCAAGGACAAGTGTTCTTATAATGGAAGAAAAGATGGAAAAAGTTCAGGAAACAGACGCAGAGAAACAAGGAAGAAAATCACGTGAAGGTGAAAGCACCAGACTTAGAACCAAATAGACAGGAGATAACCAGCATGAAATTCTGTGGCTTCAGCTCCTCAGTTGGCAAGTTCCTCCCTGTAGCTCTAAGATGCTGATCTGGAGGGAGGTGCAGGTGTGAGCCCTGCCCAGGACCTGCACAGGGTGGGGCCAAGGTCACTGAGGTGTTTGCTGGACTTCACATATTAGAGGCCTTCCTGGGGCATCACAGAACAGAAGACCTCCATCATCTCCATGGACAGCTCCATCTCCTCTCTGCTGTCCAGGCTGGAAGTGTGGACATTATGTGGACTTCTCCACTTGATATTCCATAAACTAAACAAGAGCATACACACTGGTGAAAAGAATATCTATTTAATAAATGGTGCTGGGAGAACCAGTTAGTCACAAACAGAGGATTGACCTGCGCCTCTCACCACTTACAAAAATTGACTCTTACTGGATAACAGATTTAAATTTAAGGCAAGAAGTGATAAAATCCTAGACTAAAGTGTAGGGAAAACTCTTAACAACATTGGCTTAGGAAAAGATTTTATGAAGTTTTATTGTTGATATATTTTAGATTTAAAATAATTTCATTTATCAAGTAAAGCTTGAAATACAACGAATATTGTCCTTAACAAATATAATTAATTAGTCACCAAGTTATTGTGTCAGTCAGACAGAATTCTATCATAATAAATAAAGTATACACATGAAATGGTTGGGAGAAGGCTAATGTTGCTATATTGCAAGACTCAGGTAGAAGAATCAGGAGAAACGTTGAGAAACGCAGAGTTAAGTAAAGGACACAATGGCACAATTTTGAGTTGGAAATTTTCCAGTGAATTGTAGTGGACAATTAAGAAGAGTTGTTTTCTCAAGGGTATGCTTGCTCCTGCCAAGATATGGTGGGGTAGGGTAGTGGCCAGGGAACCTGAATCCCATGGGTGGCTTTCAAGAAGGATTGCTTTGGTCAGAGCGACTAGAAAACCAGATTTGAATGAAAGATCAGAAACATAATGTGACATATTAAGGAGATATATGAAAAGTAATAAAAACAGGACAAAGAGAAGGATATTTTCAGGAGAATATATAGTATCAACTTTGTGTTACTTTTCATATATCTCCTTAATATGTCACATTATATTTCTGAGAATATATATTTTCTCCATATATATTAAGGAGATATGTGAAAAGTAATACAAACAGGACAGAGAGAAGAATATTTTCATTTACAGATAATGAGATGTTTTGAATGCACATATACTGGGAAAGAGATATGAATTTCTGTTAATTTTTTCTTTCCTCTTTTTTATATATTTTTTAATTATTCATTTATTTTTTTCTTTTTGAAACTCAGTCTCACTGTTTTGCCTGTGGTAGAGTGTTGTGGTGTCATCGCTCACAGCACCCTCAAATTCTTGAGCTCAACTGATTCTCTTGCCTCAGCCTCCCCAGTAGCTAGGGACTACAGGTGCCCACTGCAATGTCCAGCTATTTTTAGAGATGAGGTCTCATTCTAGCTCAGCCTGGTCTCCAACTCCTGAGGTCAGGCAAGCCACCAGCCTTAGCCTCCCAGAGTGCTAGGATTACAGGTGTGAGCCATACCTCCCAGCCATTAATCTTTTTTCTTAAAACATGTCTTTTAATAACCAAATACAAACACATACGGATATTTGTATTACATATAATATATACATTAACATATATACTTAAACTAGTCTCCTGAGAAAAACATGAATATAACAAATCTGGTGAAGTCTGAATTATTTTACATTGTGTAGTTTTTGTATTTACACTCTTTATTTTAGGACATTGTAGTCATCTGAGAATCAAGATTCAACATTCAGCATGTAAAGATGTTTTTAAATGCAAAAATATCATTGAAATCAAAGGCTTTGAATTTGGGTTTCTTGTTTTTCTTATAGAGGAAACTGAAAACAAAGTTGATACTAATCACTTTGAAGGTCATAGAGCCCCACATAAGCGCAGTGTGTTTAGTGATAATTCCTCAATGAAATGATAATTCATAATAATGAAATAACTGAATCTTATTTAGAGTAGATCTCCTCTAAGAAAAATATTGGTTTAAATTTGTGTATATTTTCATGACTCACTATAGGAAAATAGGCATCCTATGTTAAAGGAGACTACATTTCTGATATTTTTGTTAAACACACAATATTCTACATTTTCTTGAAAAAATAGTAGGTTTGTAATATGAATTATTATTATTATTATATTTTGTAAAGACAGAGTCTCACTTTATCACCCTGGGTAGAGTGCCGTGGCATCACAAAGCTCACAGCAACCTCCAACTCCCGGGCTTAGGGGATTGATTCTCTTGCCTTAGCCTCTGGAGTAGCTGGGACTGCAGGCGCCCACTACAATGCTTGGCTATTTTTTTATTGCAGTTTGGCCAGGTCCGGGTTTGAACCCACCACCTTCAGTATATGGGACCGGCGCCCTACCCATTGAGCCACAGGCACCACCCTGGAATATGAATTTTTAATGTGGGAGTTATTATTTCCAAGTCATCTCTAGATGTATTGCCCTCACAGAATGGTTATTTATATATTCAAAGTTGGTTAAAACTTTAAGCAAACAATTTTTTTGAGAAATATTTAAAAATTACTAACTTTGAGAAAGAAAGCCAATATTGATATATTTCTGAACACTATACAGCTATTTTACTTACCATTAAGTAAGGTAAAGTCACATCCTTTCACCATCAAACACATATGTCAAAATTCTGAATTCTGTTAGAAGTTAGTATGGGCCTATTTAAGGAAATAAAAAACACAGTCCAGGCTTTATGGGAAGTTCTCAGAGGCAGAGAATACACAAAGAACTATAACCACACGATATGGAAAGGAAGGCCCACATCATGCTTGGGAAAGGATTTGTGGAAGAATTTAGGCATTACTGAAAAACACAATTCAAACTTTAATGGTAGGAAAACATGAGACAGATAAATGCTTCTACTTTAAGATTCTGTCTGCAAATGCGTTTAATAAAATACTCGCTTTATTTTGTCCACAACCAAAAAAACCCAAAAAAACAAAAATGTATAATTTTAGAGCCATTGAATTACATTAAAATTTGCACTAAGTATTATATATTACTTATTTTAATATGCTTAGAATTTATCATATATTAACTATTAGAACCCAGTTTTCTTGTTTGATCCTAGGATTTAAAATTGTGGATTATGAAATATGAATGGAGATAGGGAATTTTATATACTAATTACTCAGATTCTTCTAGTGGATATAAAACAAGCTGAAAAGATAAACAATTTCACTCTTTTCACAGACTGAAATCAAACCTCTGCAAGCAAATTTTACTTTAGTAAAGAATTGTATTCCTTGGAGATGTTTTAGAATTCTCAATGTCTTAATATTTCTTTCTGTAATATTTTTCTTGTCTACATGAGAATCCTGATGGGAAATGGTATCCTTGTTTTAATAACCAGGTTTGACCAGGCTCTCTGGATTCCCATGTATTTTTTCTACAATATTTTTTTCTTTCTTGGAAGTCTGATTTGTGTCAGTCACCCTTCTTAGAATGTTCATAAACTTTTGGACTCAGAAAACAAATATTTCTTCATTCACTTGTGCTATACAAATGTGCTTTCTCCTAATACTTGGGAACATGGAGCTTCCTCTGGACAGTGATGGTCGATAACCAGTTTGTGAGTCACAAGGTCCACACCCAACTGGATCATTAGCATTCCTGTTGAGATAGGACAGACTTGCCAGATTTCTTCCAGGCCCTTTTGTGAATCTAACCACATCAGTCACTTCTGGGACATCCCCCCAGTCCTGAAGCTGGCCGACAGAGATACTTCCATGAATGATGCTGGTCTTTACAGGTGTCGTGCTGTTTGATGTGATCCCTAGTACGGTGATACTGGAATCCTGTAAGAAAAACAGCCCCAGCATCTTGATGTTATCAT